TGGTGAACTATGACAATGTAGTGGACACGGGTTCTGAGACTGATGAAGAGGACAAGCCTCAGATTGCTGAGGAGGACGGGATTGCCAATCCTCTGGACCAGGAGAGAAGTCCAGCTAGCGTGCCCAACCATGAGTCCTCCCCACACGTGAGCCAAGCTCTGTTGCCACGAGAGGAAGAGGAAGATGAGATAAGAGAGGGTGGAGTGGAACATACCTGGCACAGCAGCGACATTTTACAAGCCTCTGTGGATGGTCCAGGTGAGTGTCTAAAAAAACTTGGCCTTTTTCTGGGCCATCTCAAATCATCCTACCTCGTGGAACATCCACAACCAAATCATTAAAATATTTCTTCCCAGAGCCCTCGCAGAATAGAGATACCAAAGCTGGTGACAGATTATGAAATGATAGTTGTGTTATCACATTACAGCCCTGACATCTTAGGAAGGGATTATATTTCCATTTGGATGCAAGTTGAATATGAACTACATTTTAAACACACAACGTGAAGGATTTGCACCACATGTACAATGTGCCAATTTATACAACATGATCAAGATGTGCCCTCTCAAGATGGAAAATGGAAGCAAACCTAAGAACTCACAACTGACATGTATTTGAAAGTTTTGTATAGTGATACAAACCAAATAATGTCAGTTTAATGTAGTTTCAGTGTCTGTCTGACACCTCCTATTGTAATTCAACCATCTAATCATTCCCTTTTATTAAGTGTAAATGTGATTTCACACTTCTACCTGGTCAGGTAGCTTTCTTATTATTTAACAGCTAAGTACTCGATAATGATTCTTGCTGTTTGGTGGGAATCTCTGGGGAAGTAGAAATGGTCCAAGGCCAGCTATAATAAAAATAAGGTAAATTATGTTCAATCTAAAACTTTAGATGCCATTGTGAAAATGGAAATGTCATGGTCTAAAATTCACTCAGGATGAAACATCACCAAGGTGTGAAATGATTAACAAAATAAAAGAGAATTAATCATTAGTCATATCCCCCTAAACTCCTTCTGCTCATCTCTACTTGATAAGGTGGCCTGTTAAAAAAATTTTTAATGACCCGTCTAATTCAAACCTTGGTGTCTCCTTAATGTCTGTTCCAAGACCCAATGAGAGCTATCATGATTTACCCCACTTTTTTTTTTCTTATGCTATATATAACAATAGCATTTTTATAAATAGGTGAAGTGGGTGGGAAGGAAATAAGTAAGCACACGAGTCTACCTATATGCTATTGTGATGTCGCAGACTATAAAACAGCGAACGTAGGCAGAGTAATTGTTTGGTATACTAGAAGGGAGATAATAAAAGCACTTCCACTACTAAAGAAAATTAAATGTGAAGAAAAGGAGAAGAAAAGACGGATGGCAGTTTGAGTGTAGTGTATTTGTTTTTCGTGTTCCTTAACATACTGTGCCAAGTTTTGTACTCTTTCTGTTTCCAATTTTGCTTTCGGTGAAGGTTTCTCGAGTATCAGCAATCCCACACATAAACATTTATCGTTCTATCCATTAAGACTTAAGGTTTTAGATTTTCAACTATGAGGGAGAACTCAGCCAAAGATGCTTGAAAGATAAATACGTTTAATTAGGGGCCGAGGATGATCATTAAAGGAAGTCTGACTGCTGCAGAAGTCATTAACAATCTTAAATGAAATTTTTATTTTTATGATAGCCATTTACATGTATAATAAGAGCCAATGATTCTTGGGAGCAGTGTGACAGAAACAGAGTGTGGCGAGAACTCATGTAAGACATACTATTTAAATGAGCTGGTGTTAGCTATTCATATTTGTTAATGAACTAGATATGCAGGGCTATAAGAATGAATGTTCTGATGCTTTAAATTTTAATATCTAGAAATCAAGGGTAAGGACCAATTACTAGAATTTCCACCCTTAAAGGAATAATTAATAACGATATAACAAATGTACAGCTCCAAACTTCTGGCAAAAAAAGTTTAATTTTAAAAAATTAAGACCAATAATTGAAAAACAGCCAAAACAGCCATGTCAAGCTGTAGTAGTCTGTGATCATGGCAGTTTTTTTGCGTTGGTCATGGATCATAATTCTGAATGTTTTAATATACAATCATTCATATGAATGCATTAGAGACTCTATTATCACCTGTAGTTAATGATGCCTGTGATACAAATGAACAGGCTGTTCTTTGCTCTTACCTTTATGGTAAATAAACTAGCATTCTGGAGTCACAATAATTAAATAAAATGTAAATCCCTAATCTCACTTGGCTATTTGGACCAAGAAAGTTACCCGGCTATTACCTGTCTGGTTCTAATGATTAGTAATGATTTATTGTTCTTTTTTTTTTTATTGTTCCAAAAGTGCTCTGATGTGGTGCCTTGATGTCTAATGAAAAGAAATTGGTCTTAAAAAGCTACTCATTGTTTATCCTGCCTCTTAGATAACACATTTTTCTTCTGATAAAATATTTTTCTTATTTATTGTTCAAAACACACAATATAGACAATAATTCTAATTCGGGTGCTGTTTTATTTAGTAGTGTTTTATCCCTGGTGCCTGCCTGTCTACCACCGTACCCCAGCACATAGCTTTACTCTGAGATAAGCCCTCCCTCCTGTGCTCTCTCTCCCCTGCTCTCTGTAGTTTGTCTGGAGGATGCAGGTTTTCCATGAAGAGCTCTGTGGAGTTCTTACTGTGCCTTTCCGGTTCCAGCACAATCAAAGTTTTGTGTTTAGAATTGTCCTTGACATTCTTTCGTCCCACAATGGGGTGGACACAGTGTGCTGGAAATCATGACATCATTATCATTGACACAGACTTAAATAAATCACCTGCATCTAGCCTCTTTCTGCTTATCCAAGGATTCTTCATCTTGTGGCAGAAAGTGCTCTTTATTTTCACAAACCTTCATCCCAAGGGTCTGGAAGATGCAAACTTTTACAAGTGCTTTAAAAACAAATATACTATGTGGTTTTAGATGCAGTATGCTGAGTAAGAGATGTCTTGGAAAATGTTTAAGGTTAGGCGCGAGGCAAAAAGACAGCCAAGATTGCCTTTCATTCAGAGGGGATACTCCTAACCTACATGATGATGTCCTTCTGAATATGGATTCCTGTGAAGCTTAATTAAATAGGCATATAAATAGCATTTCAAATACATACTTGAAAGGGCTTAGTGTTTCATTTTAATAAATTGAGCTTGATGTTCAAAAAACAAAAAGCTTGATGCTCAGTAAATTGAAGCAGAGTACATTCTGGGTAAAAATGACACCATCTCAGTTGCACAATCTTTGGTAAAAGAGGGTTGTAGCTAAAGTGTTACTACAGAACACAGGGCACGCTAGGTGCCAAATACACATGTGAATATGCAACATTTAATCATTTGGGAAGCAACCACCCCCTGTAACTTCTCTTTACTTTTTCATAAGAAAATGACAATGAGGAAGGAAGTGCAGCAGAAATCTTGAACATTACCACTATTATGCAAAAAAAAAAAAAAAAATGCTGTTAACTGTTTTTCCCTCAGTGACTTGATCTCTCAGATGGAAAACTTATGATTCTTCTGACTCTTGGCTACCAGAAATCACATGAGAGGAGCGAGGAAGAAAGACACAAAAGTTATATTTATATCTAGTACTGAACTTCTCAGAAATACCTTAATTTAATTCCTTGCAGAGACTAATAAAAATATCAGATGAGGGAGCCTTTCAGCCAATCAATTATGACAATTGACAATACAATATTGCTGTATATTGAACGCCTAAATGTTTTATGCAAAATGTTCCTGTGAAAATGTTTCTTAAATAAGAAAGAAGTCCAGGGCCAAGACTGAATTTAAAGTGGTCATAGAATTTAAACAAATATCATTCAAATTATCTGACCAGTATTATGCCCAGGGGCATTATATTAGCCTAATTTATATATGTGTATTTTACCTTAAGAGGCTCATGATTTTTCAATTCTGATCCCATGAACAGATATGCTGCAGGATACTGCTTGTAAAACATATATTTTAATTTTGCTGTAACATTTGCTAGAATCTGTTTTTCTACCAAATAATTATGACTGAAATGTGATAAGCAAAAATGGTCAGGATAAATTTGGGAATTCACGGAGTCCTATTTATAAAGTTTCTCTTGTTTGAAACAAAATGATTATCACAGAGAGATATTTATCCTGGATCATGTTTGACTCCCATTAGTATTGTTATTGTAAAATTACAACTTTTAAAATCCCATGTTAAATTTACTTCCTTGCAAGATTTTTAACTGTTAGCTGTCCTTCTCTGCCCTCACATATTCTTTAGTTTGGTAGGCAGAAAATTCGAGAGTTCTACTTTCTAGACTCATTAAAGACATTACAATTTTAGAAAATGACCTTCTATCATTTATAGACCTTCAACTTCAGTGCTACATATTTTCATCTTCATCAGAACATTGAGGTGTTCTTACACCTATATGTTTTTCCTCAAAAATGACTATGATTCCCTACTGGGAAATAAATGGTAAGGAAGAAAGCTATTTATGGAGTGGTAAGGAAAGGAATAAAGAAAATATGTTTTAGAAGTTTATATAAAACAGTGAAACAGGTGTTTTCAGTACCTCTGGGATGCTTTTTTATAAACTGGGCATTTCAAGCTCTGGTATGTAGAATTGGGTTTTTTTTTTTTTTAATTTTGCTTGCATAGATTAGCACCATCATAGCTACTTCAAGGAGAGGAATAAAACATGAAAATAAAATAAGAAATTCTGACTTGCCTCTGGCCATCCAGCATTACCAGAGCTATAGCAGCCAGCGTGCCTTTTTGTCAGTGCAAATACTTAGTTGCTTTTGACTCTTATTGAAAAAATAATATCTTTCCCCCTGTTTGTCACTAGAACTGCCACCAGAAGAAAAGCCCTTCGTTTGCCCCAAATAAGCACCTCTGTTTTTCACAGCTTGCAGTAATGCTTAAAGTAAATAAGTTCTTGTGCAGCTAGCACTATTGGATTCATTCAATTGCCTGAACAAAGCTATTGTTTAGAGGTTTACAACAAGCCTTTTCTCTGTTTCCTTTAAAAGAATCTTCCTTGTTCCTGTGGTTGGCATGCTTAGTATAGTAAGCTTTTCTACAATTTTCAAATGCTAAAGAGAATTTTCCCCCACAGAAGAAATGAAGGAAGACTATGACACTATGGGGCCGGAAGCCACGATCCAGACCACAGTTAACAATGGTACAGGTAAGTGAGTTTACCACGCCAAGGTCACGCTAGTCCTGCATCATGTGGATTCAGTCAGAAGCAGGAGCATTGACCCATCCATTTGTATGTCCATGACTTAACAATTAAGCAGATTTTACAAGGCTCTCTTTATGATTTCAAATCAGAATTCTCTGTTTTGATATTTTATTCAGCAAATATATCTTTTATTCTTAAACCCCTAATTTGCCTGTGAAAGGTGAGAAAATTGAACTGGATTAAAAAAAAAAAACTTTTCAAAGCATTAGTTAGGCAAACTTTTGATAGTAATTTTTATTTTAAAAGACTGCTTGAATATAATTTGAAAATTGTAATATAATAGGCTCAGCAGTAAAGAATCTGCCTGTAATGCAGGAGACATGCTAGTTCGAGTCCTGGGTCAGGAAGATCCCCTGGAGGAGGAAATGGCAACCAGCTCCAGTATTCTTGCTGGGAAACCATCCCAGCCCCTGGGGTCATAAAGGGTTGGACACGACTGAGCACTTCCAGTCACCACTAATATTAGTCATTGAGATTCAAATGATATGGTGTAGTTTAGATTATAAAATGTTTTTATAGAAAGACAAACCAAAATTCTGTGAGCATTCCTCACAAAACTTGATCGGTCTGAATTCCTTTTTATTCTTTCTCCATTTTATTTCTCAGTACCTTCTAGTTCCCCTAAATAATATTTTCCAGGCAAAAGTTTTAGAGAGAATTGAAAGTGTCTCTTCTTTTTTGATGAAGCTAAAAAATTGCAGTAATAGTGCTTTGGTTTGTTCTGCTACTGCTATAGAACAGTTTCAGGACAATTGTGACATTTCATGTTCTTTCCCCAAAACTGAACAGCATCTCCCCTGACACCCTCTCATGTCACTAGTGCAAATGTATACTGACTCACTATGTTTATCTCTTTTTTCCTAGATAAGGCTAATTATGTTTTGTGTTTCAAACAATCCCTTATACTACCATGGCAAATATTACCATTGTGCCCAGTATAAGTTTATCATCAAAAACAAAAGTAAAAAAAAAGAAAAAAAGCACATAGCTATTTCCACTCAACTCACCAATGGAAAAAAGTCACAGTTTTAAGAAGCTTTGGAAATGTAAATTATTAAGATATTCATATCTCCCTTATGTTGAAACACATCACAATAGACGGTTCATGCTGTGCTTCTATTTAGAATGCTCTTATTAATAACTTGCCAGGCACTAATTTGCATTCTTAGATGAAAAATAAGAGAAATAATAATAAAAAAAACTATTGTAAATTTTCCTTCATTCGAATAATGTCGATATGAGGTACAAAAATGAACTGTACAGTATGGGATTATGGAAAAGGTATAGGATTAGGAACCTATGATCGTAATTTCTAGCTACACCTCTGACAATAACTAGACTGTGACCTTGGGCAGGTCAGCTACCCTCCTTGGCACTCGGTTTCCACATCTGAAAAATGAATAGGTTACATTGGTTGCTTGTTAAGAATATTTCTAGTTTTAATATTCTGTGTTGCAGTGGTACCATGACCAAGTAAAATAGAAACCAGACAAAATAGCTTCATATTAGAGCATAATAATAAAGAGTTACCATAAATTAGATACTTTTTATAATGTCCCAACTCAGGGGATCAAAAATGGCTTTATCTTCCTGTTAAAGACAAATGTTAAATTTCAACCTCAAGCATAAATAAACTCTAATTTCATTAACTTTATAGGTGTTTAAAGTGTCACTAAAGTAAATTTATTCCACAGAATGACAATTTACTAGCTGTTTTATTCATTTGAAGTCTAAAGTGAGGTTAATAAAAATGCTTCCTATTCAGAAGATTTAAGAATCAATTTTGAATGTTCCTTCACCTACCCTTAAGATATCCTTTTTCCCATACTACTTACTATTACTTATAGTTCATATATATTCAGTCAATAAACAAATTAATAAGTATTCATTCAGTGTCTTCTATATTCACTTTTGTGTGCACATATGGTAGAAGATAGGGCAGAAGTCTTAGATGTGACTATTATTTAATTTGGAAGATGCGACTAATGCACAAGAAAAAAATAGTGATAAGTGAAAATATGTGACAAATATGCCACAAACAGTAAGAATCGTAATTATTTCAAATTACAGAAATATGAGAGATTCTATGAGGTGAATATTCAGAAAAGATTTCTTGAAGAAGGTGAAATTCGGACTAAGTTCATCTTGAATCGTCATGAAGGAGTGAGGAAGGCCTTTCAAGCAGGACAGGAGCATGTGGGCGAGAGGAAGCAAATTGTAATATCCATTCAGAGGATAGTGAGTAAGAAGATTTGGCTGAATCAGGGAGTTCTAGGAGCAATTCATGGGAAATGATGCTGGACATGTAAGTTAAAAGTAAATGGAGAATGTAAAGCAACAGAGGAAAGAGTTCAGGGCATGTTAAACTACCATGATTTCTGTGAATAAAAACTAGACTTTGAGAGACCAACTGAAAATCCTTGTAGTTATTCAGGTGTGAAGCGACAAAAAAGCCTGTCCTCGGGGTAGTGACAGTGGTGAAATTTGTAACCTGACTTCTTAACAACCAATAGATTTTCTGGGTAATGAAATCAAAATGGCTTCAAGGTTCCACATCTGCATGTTTAGAACATGGCAAATACTATCTCTAGATAAACAAGAAACAGACCCAGTTTTGAGAGAACTTGACCTTGTCTTTAGACAAGTATTTTCATATAAAATTTATATATATATATTCTTTGGAAATGAGGAATTGAAACCCAGGAAGTCAGGGTGAGAAAGATTTGAGAGCCATGTAGATATATTCAGATGGTATTTAACATCATGGGCTAAAACATTTATGATTGAGAGTGTATTTATTGAAATTAGTAGAAAGCTGACACCAGGGCTTCTGGTGGGTAACAAGAGGAATCAAATTCATTAAAAGAAATAAGACTAAGAGATGGAAAAATATTAAATAGCCAAACAGCAAAGAAAGAAAGTTTGGAACATATACAACTGCATATACATATGCAACTGAAAGAATCCTGAGCAAATAATTGGAGTTGGTAATTTGGAATTTACTGGTGATCCTCTGTTTAGAACTCTGGCATTTTAGAGAATAAACACGTATCTCTTCCCAACCATAAGTTTACTTCTTCTTATCCTTAGCATCGTTTTGGATGCTAAAATATGTAAAATTGAAATAAGACATCTTTAATGGTTGAAGTTGCCTATTCATGGAGCATCTCTTTCTCCCCACCTAAGTCCTGCTGATTAAGATCAAGCTATTGGCGGACCTTCCTCTTTAGCTATCCAACTGTAGTGATATCTTCCTCCAGTGAACTCTTATAGAACAAATCAGTTAAACTTGCTGTAGATGGTATAGACTGTCATTACTTAATGTGTTGTTTTTTCCAAATTAAATTGCAAACTCTGAGAATACGGATTGGTTTTAGACTACCATTTTGTCTGTGAGAGTGCCTTAAAATGAATAGTCTCAACACACAGGTTTTTATTAAGAATGAATATGAAATTCTTTTATATCAGGTACCATTTTTTCTTTTTTAATTAAAGCAGAACAAACAGACATTGGCATAGATAAATTTTAAACAGGTTAAGCACATTTTCTGATAAAAAGTGTTGTTATTAACTGGAGTAAGCTGTCAAGAGAAGACAAAGAAAATGTCTCTATTATTTCTGAATATTCAACACACAAATTTCATTCCTAACTGAAAGTAAGGAAAAGATCTCTGAATTTCCTACTCAAGTCTACAGATCTATTAAACAGTAGAATTTAACCAAGTTCATATCAGTGGATAGAGTAGTCTTTTAGAATTTAAAAGTAGCTCCTTCCTAGTATAGTCTGCTGAGTTTAAAGCTGTAAGGAGTAGTGGGAAGGACTTAGCTGAATTGAATCACAGAATTTGAAAATTGAAAGTTATACTACGGAACAATTCCTTGACTGTAATTTGATAACTGAGGAAACTGTAGTGAAAAATGCCACATAGCTAACTAATACAGATTGGGGAATAAAATCAAAATCACCTAAGTTCAGTTCAGTCGCTCAGCCGTGTCCAGCTCTTTGCGACCCCATGGACTGCAGCACGCCAGGCCTCCCTGTCCATCACCAACTCCCAGAGTTTACTAAAACTCATGTCCATTGAGTCGGTGATGCCATCCAACCATCTCATCCTCTGTCATCCCCTTCTCTTCCTGCCTTCAATCTTTCCCAACATCAGGGTCTTTTCAAATGAGTCAGCTCTTCACATCAGGTGGCCAAAATATTGGAGTTTCAGCTTCAACATCAGTCCCTCCAATGAAAACCTAGGACTGATTTCCTTTAGGATGAACTGGTTGGATCTCCTTGCAGTCCAAGGGACAAGAGTCTTCTCCAACGCCACAGTTCAAAAGCATCAGTTCTTCGGCACTCAGCTTTCTTTATAGTCCAACTCTCACATCCATACATGACCACTGGAAAAACCATAGCCTTAACTAGACAGACCTTCGTTGGCAAAGTAACATATCTGCTTTTTTAATATGCTGTCTAGGTTGGTCATAACTTTCCTTCCAGGGAGTAAGCATCTTTTAATTTCATGGCTGCAATCACCATCTGCAGTGATTTTGGAGCCCCCAAAAATAAAGTCAGCCACTATTTCCACTGTTTCACCATCTATTTGCCATGGAGTATTGGGACCAGATGCCGTGATCTTAGTTTTCTGAATGTTGAGCTTTAAGCCAACGTTTTCTCTCTCCTCTTTCACTTTCTTCAAGAGGCTCTTTAGTTCTTCTTCACTTTCTGCCATAAGGGTGGTGTCATCTGCATATCTGAGGTTATTGGTATTTCTCCCAGCAATCTTGATTCCAGCTTGTGCTTTCTCCAGCCCAGCATTTCTCATGATGTGCTCTGCATATAAGTTAAATAAGCAGGGTGACAATATACAGCCTTGATGTACTCCTTTTCCTATTTGGAACCAGTGTGTTGTTCCATGTCCAGTTCTAACTGTTGCTTCCTGACCTGCATA